TGTTTCACAATTTCTGTCCCTGGGCGAATCCGAACTCAACCGTACAGGGACCGACTGCGAATGGCCCCCGCGCTGGCTGAAGCCTTCCGCGCCGAAGCGAACATCGCTCAGGGTATGCGTCTCGAAACACAGACGAGATCGGATTTGACTCATTTCTGCATCGCTTCACGACGACACTGCGTTCGCTTCAACCGCCTACGACACCTACCCAAAACAACACAACATTAAAAAAATAATATATAACAAAGAAAAAATATAAGAAACAACACAACATAAGACATTGTCCGACACACGCGTCTGACAAATATCTCCTTTGGCGTCACATGTGATGCGTGGGCGGAAGACAACCGGTTTTCCGTGTACTTCTGAGCCGCTGCGGTATGGACATTGCTCTGATTGCATCACAAAGAAACGCCTTGGAGCCAGACCGTCCAATTGCGACCGTCGGCCCCCGACAATATCAGGAATTGGTTCAGGCGGTCTTTGGTCAAAGGCTGAGTGCGTGGAACGCCGCCGCTCCCCACCACCTCACTCCTCCCCCTCTTCCCTTCCTTTCCTTCCTCCCGCCCTCCTCCCCTCCTCCTCACTCGCCATCCCCTCGATCCCCCCCCCGCCCTCTCTCCTTTCTCGTTCCTCCCTCGCCCGTCCTTTGCCCCATTTGACCCCTCTACCTTCTGGATAACTCTCCCTGTCGCACCACCAGACGTATATGCAGGCCTGGCTGGGCGTCTCGCTCAAGACTTTCCTGTGGAGCACGTTCCTGAAGCTGGTAACGCTCTAGAAGCTATTGTCTTTTGGCGGCGCGCACAACGGGGTATGGAAAATCAGGGGGGGAGCCTTCTTAGAGGGAGGCTGCTCGTTAGAAGGTGCCAACCCTACATCTATAAGTAAGGCCCGCGCCTTCTAAGCAGCAGGGGTGTTTCTAAGAAGGAGCCTTCCCCCCTCCCACCACCCACCTCTGCGCGCGGCTGAGTTTTTGCGCCGCAGCATTCGTTGTCAAAGCTCTCAACAGCTACAGGGATGGAGCCCCAGTGGTTTTCAAAATTTGGCTCTCGCTTGGCGCCACGCGAATTCATTTCGAATGGTTCCAACGGTTGCAAGCATTGGCGCCGTTTCACGCCGCGCACATTCATGTCAAACGATTCCGACAACCAGATAGATGGAGGGCCGGTGGTGTCCAAATTGCAGTATTCGCCTTCGCGCTGCGCATATATATATATATATATATATATATATATAGATGTATATATATAGATATGTGTGTGAAATCGAAGCTGGTTCGTTTTCAAAATGCGGGTCTCGCCTCTCGGCCGCGCGCAGGAAGCCTGAACAAATCCAGGAATTACGAAACTGGCGGCCGGCTCGTCCTCAGAATACGGCTCCGGCTTCAGGCATCCTCTAATTCTGCGACCCGGAACTCCACATGGTGCACGCTTGCACGGACGGGGCTCACGCTTGCAGCATGGCCGGGACTGTGGAACTGCGCATCGCCTGAACGGATGGAGGGCTGACTCTGGTCAACGGGGAGCTATCGCTGGACACTCCCCTGGGCGATATCATCAACATTGTCTGTGCTGCTCTGGGCTCGAAGGCTGGAGGGTAGATCCTTTACAACAGAAGGTCTCGCCTGAGTGGCAGGCCTCCCGGGGATCTCCGTTCGGCGCTGGGGCTTCTCGCCGTGGAGAAGAGCACGTGCAGGGGTTCGTGAGGAGGCGACCTGGGACGGGAGGGTGTGCTGCGAAATCATTGGCGCGTCCTGGGTTTGCTCTGTTCCTCCTCAGTGGCTCGGCGATGCGGGCGAGTTCGCGTCGAAGCGCCGGTGCCCTCGACCCCCGAGCCCCGCAGACGTTGGCGGGCTGGGGGGGCGGGTGTAAGCGTGGGCCGCCTGCGGGCGCCGGTGGGGCCGCCGAGCGGGACGAGAAGGAGACGACACGAGGGGGGCAGGGGGGACCGCAGGAGAGGCGAACCAGGGACCGAACGACTGTGGTCCTGCTGCTCCTCCTCCTCCTCCTCCTCCTCCTCCTCCTCCTCCTCCTCCTCAGCGCCGCCGCAGAAGGGCGCCTGAAGCTGAGGGAGAAGAGCCGCTCGCCGAGCTGCTGCTTCTGGGCCTCGGGGCGCCGCGGGGCGCGGGCGGGAGGGAGGGGAGGGGAGGGGTGGGGCCTCACCAGAGAGGAGGGAGGGAAGGAAGAACGAAGATCAGATCAGACACGTGTGGGGGGCATATCGGAGTACGGGGGCCGAACGGCCATTCATTGTCCCTGGGTGCGTGGCTGGAGCGAGAATCCGTGGTGAGAGTTATGTTTGTTGCGTTGTCGTTGTTGTTGTTGGTGTGGTTGTTGCTGCTTATGTTGCTGTTGCTGTTGCTGCTGCTGGTGTTGTTATTGTTGTTGTTGTCGTTGTTGCTGCTGCTGCTGTTGTTGTTGTTGTTGGTGTTGTTGTTGTTGTTTGTTTGTTTGTTTGTTTGTTTGTTTGTTTGTTTGTTTGTTTGTTGTTTGGTGTGTGTTGTTTGTTGTTTGTTGTTTGTTGTTGTTGATGTTGATGTTGTTGTTGCTGTTGGTGTTGTTGGTGTTGTTGTTGTTGTTGAATATTATTACTTCTAAAGAATAACTATTGTTGGGCCCCCTGGTGCACGCCCCCCTCGCCGCGCCTAGGCCGCAGCCACATTTTCATCATTTTCGTGAGGAAGCCTCAGGCAAAACGATGTGGTCCAGATCCGGTTGTTTTGTTGACGCCCGCTTTCCCTTGCAAAAAACACTATAAAATGAAATTGCTTGTTCTAACATATCCAAACTTCAAGAATCCCTTGCAAAAAATAAGGTAAAGTGGACATTCGCGCGCGCAAGACGAAATCCTTCCAAAACCTTAGTTTTCGTAGCGATTTTAACATAAAACATCAAAAAAACAATGGTTTTTCAAAAACAAAATTGTCGAAATTTCATCCCGCGCGCTCTTGCGGATTCGTAGGAAACCCAACACTTTTTAAACATTTCTGTCAAACGGGCTTTTGTGAGCAACTTTTTCGAACTTCTGCAACAACGGTTGCGCACCTGCCAGGGCCATCATCCCTGTCAAATAATACCATGCGGGACACATTCGTATTTTCTTCGCGCGCGCACGCCGTCGTCGTCGGCCGCGGGGCCCTGAATAGTAGCCACGGTCGTCCGCATGCCACGAAGTGAAGTGTCCGAACGTCATAGGGCGGGAAGCTGGGTGTGGGTGGTGGCGAAGAGTCTTTTGGAAATTTGGTAGAGCTTGAAACGGCCCCCCCACAAAGTGGGGGTATTGCCCGCCTCCTATGAAAACCCTGGCACTGGTGAGAACGGAGTGTCCCCACGTGCTAGTAATTGGTGTTGTTGTTGTTGTTGTTGTTGTTGTTGTTGTTGTTGTTGTTTGTTGGTGTGGTTGTTATTGTTGGTGGTGTTGTTGTTGGTGTTGTTGTGTTTGTTGTTTTTGTTATGGTTGTTGCTGTTGTTGTTGTTGTTGTTGTTGTTGTTGTTGTTGTTTGTTGTTGTTGTTGTTGTTGTTGTTGTTGTTGTTGTTGTTGTCGTCCCCCCCGCGACTTACCCCGCGACCCACCCCGCGACTTACCCGCGACCCACCCCGCGACCCACCCCGCGACTCACCCGCGACCCAATCCACGACCCACCCGCGACCCACCCGCGACCCACTTGCGACCCATCTGCGACACACCCCGCGACCCACCCGCGACCGATCCACATTGGTTTCAAGAAAAAATCGGCGCCTGCGGCGGGTTCGTTGTATAATTTGTGGAACTTAGGCGCCTGCAGCGGGCTTCTCCAGAGTCTCGCAGACTGCCTCTTATCCGCATCTGCGGGGTGCTACGTATCCACGCCGTGAAAGAAGGAGTTGCCCTAGGACCGACATGACAGCCACGAAATTCGGACCTCCAATCCGCCCTGTGCTTCCAGAGCCTCAAAGCCATGAGCGCACTTGCAGAACAAAACTCACCCATTCGAAACGCCGATGAGGAATGGGGAGAAGGAACAAGAGAAGCGGAGGGAGGCCGGGAGGAGGGACCCCACGGAACCACGCCGGAGAGGCGGGAGCGGAGCGGAGCGGAGCGGAGGCGCCGGTTCCGGGCACCGGGGGTGCCCGTGCCCTTTGGGCAAGGCGCAAGAGGCCGTAGCCTCAGACCGTGTGGGTGCTGAAACTCTGGATGACATAGTTCACGAACCAGAACAAATAGAGCGTGTGGTCGGAATAGGGCAGCAACCAGCACAAACATTGAATACGTGGACGAAGTAGTACACGAGCCGGCGCAAATAGAAGACAGGGAAGACGGAGTTCAGGATTGTGCTTGTGGTCGGTGGTGTTTGTTTGTGGTCAGTGCTGGTGGTCGATTTCTGTGTTCTGTCAGTGTTGTTGGTCGTGCTGGTGGTCAGTGTTGGTTCGTGGTGGTCGATGCTGGTGTTCGGTGGCGTTTGGTGCTGGTGGCGCTGCTGGTCGTGTTGGAACCTGGTGGTGCTGGTGGCGCTGCTGGTGGCGATGCCGGTCACAGTCAACTGGTGTATGCAAGGAAGCTGCTATCAAGTGTGTCCCACCACGTTGTCTCCGTTGCGGCTGTCAACCATCTTATGTCGTTGCTGTCGTAGTGGATATACTGCCGTGGGCGAGTGGCTTCGTTGGTGTTGCCTTGTGTGGCTGCGTCGCTGGTGGTCTGGTGCAAACTTTTGAGAAATTCTCGAATGTCGTCGTCCCACCGCTTTTGTTGACCACCATGTTTCCGATGGCCCTGCTGACTCTCGTCAAGAGACGGGTTCCAGTTCATTGCTCGTTGTGTCCATCGGTTCGGTGGGTGATGTGCTACTCGTGCGGCCCAGCGCCAGACCTTTTTTCTGTGTATTTGCTCCACGCCAGGGATGTCGTGCATGCTCATTAGCTCTTCGGCTCTGCGCGTGCTACGACGGATGAAATCGGACCACAGCTCGCTGTCGTCCGTCGTCTGGTCGTCGCTAGTGTCTTCACGCGGAGTAGGCGGGTTGCTGGATGCGTCGTGGTCGCTGGAATCGTTGGGATCGTCTCTGCTGGGGTCGTGGTCGTTGTGGGTGTCCGTGGGCGGGGTGGGGTGTGTTGACGTGCGAGTGTTCGTGCGCCTTCTCGGTGTTCCGATGATCGCTCTGACCATTCGTCGTTGTGTGCGGCGTAGCTGTTGCCTGAGAGGCTCTGTTAAGGTCCACGTCTCTGCGCCGTACGTCAAGGTGGGCATTACAGTGCCACGGTAGAGTCGCACCCTCGTGAGCTCTTGTCCGTGCCCTGTGAAGCATGCCCACGCAGCCTGTATGCGATGTTGGATCTCTGTAGCCGAAGCGTCCTCGAACGTGATCGTCTGTCCGAGGTACGTCAGCGCCGGAGAGGCGGGAGGAGGGCAGAAGGGACGTAGTCTGAACCATAACTTGGAACGCCAAGGGCCAGCCTGCGCATGCGTAGAAGCTTCGCACTTGCACTCGACCATCCCCCCTATGAGCCCGTGTCGCCTCGCCCTCGATGGCACATCTCCCTTCTGCAGGCCTTCCGCCTCGCCCCCATCCCGCGCCAGGACCCCCTTCTTCAGAGCTCCCCGCACGCCTCGCCCCTGCACTGCTAGCCTCGGCCTCCGACGACCCGACTGGCGTGAGGTCCCCGGCCCGCCGGACCTCTCCCAATGACCGAGCCCTGCAAGACGCACCTAAACAGAATCGATGCGTTCAGATGCGACCGCGCCCTGGTGCAGGCGAGAAGCCTATCGTATCTCCTTTTCTGCAAAAGCGACAAGACATATATATGCTTTTTAGATGCGCGCCCCCGGCCTGCACGGGAGCGCCGCCGTATCCAAACGTATCTACTCTTCACGTGTTTCGAAACATTGGGACCGTATCTATTGTTCTTCAAGGAACAGATATAGAAATCCGTAAATAAATGTTCGAACATGACATTGCCGCGCCGTATCTAGTCGCATCTAATTTTAATGTTGTCAGAAGGGATGCTGTCGTCTGTGCTCTGGGACCGACAGGGATCTATGAGACTGGTCGAAGCAAGGAACCATCGGATGGTATTGTGGGACGCCGTCGCGATGAGGAGTGAGACGAGCAACGACGACACAGACGACGAGGAGCAGCATGGATAACCACGATTAAACGATATTTAGGAGAGAACTGGGAAGGAACAGGGAACCGCAGGAGGGGGAGAGCAAAGGAGGAGGAAGCGAAGGACGAGGACGAGGAGGATTGCGTCAAATCGAAAGTGAAGGGGGTGGTGCGGGCAAGGACAAGGGAAGATGAACACCGAGGAGGGCGGATGAGGAGGAATCCAAGAGGAGTGAGATGCGAGAATTGTCGATCGCGGGCGTGCGCAGAGGACTCGAGGGACGATCGCGATGGCGATAATGGGGATGACGAGGAGGAGCATGAGGGTGACCATCGCGGGGGAGTGCCGAGGAGGTTTCCGAAACTGGGGGGTAAAACGCGGGACTCCTGATGGCGAAATCGGGAGGAGTACGGGGAGTAGGAGGAAGAGGGGGAGAAATGTGAGGACGAATCAGAGGCGTGAGGAGGGACATTAATTTCGATGAGTGTGCAGAAGCATCATGATGTGGAGGCATGGGGAGGAACGAGTCGGACGATGAGCGCGGACGAGGAGGAGGATGAGGGCGCGCGGCGAGGAGGCAAGAAGAGCCAGGTGGAGTAGGAGGGAGCGCCAGGAGGATAACGTGGAGGAGGGGGAGTCAGGACGGGGATGGAGTAGAACAATGATTGAAGATAATGGTTCCTCTGCCTCGTCCTCCTCGTCACCGTGATCGTTCGGCTCGCCCGCCGTCCCCTTTATCCAATCGGTTCGTCATGGTTTCCCGCTTCACTTCCTCCTCCTCCTCCTCCTCATCGTTATCGTCCTGACTGACATATGCATTGACTTCCCTATTCGTGGTCATCGAGCGGCCTGGGCATGGCAGTGATATGGCGCCGTATATATTCGTATCTGTTTTTGGTAGACATGTTTTCCAGCGATGGGCGCCACATTGAACCGTATCTTAACGTATCTGAGCATGCCGATTCAAATATAAAAATACACCGTCTCTAAACATAAAAAGAAGCACACCTCCCTTAAGTACTCATATCTGATGAATGACGCACTCGTATCTAAACGTACAGATGTTTGATATATATATATATATATAATATAAATATAGGTTCGTACCACATGCTTCTTAAGGAAAACGCGGTAACACACAGTTGGTTCAAGGGGGAACTGTAGATACCGTGCGGCCCTTGCGAATGCAGCTGCCGCTGGGGAAATCAACAACATAAATAAACTCGACCGGCAAAGCACACGGCGCGAACGAAGAAATCGGCGCGGACCCCCCAGTGCGAGTGCTTCGAGCCGTCCGAGGTCTGGGCATCTGGCGCCGCCCTGGGCCAACGATGCCTCACGATGGCTTCCAACCTGCGCCCCCCTCCTCTCCTCGCTCCTCCTCGCTCCTCCTCCTCCTCCTCCTCCTCCTCCTCCTCCTCCTCCTCCTCCTCATCCTCCTCGCTCCTCCTCCTCCTCCTCCATCCTCCCTCCCTCCTCCATCTTCTCTCCCCCTCCGCCCGCGAAGGAGAAGCCGCCGCCGACCCACCCAGCCCTCGGAGCCAGTGGTCCGAGCACGCACCCTCAAGACCAGGGGCACGGCCGAGACATGGGGCGCGTTCTGACCAGGACTCCGAGGCGGGCACAGCCGCGGAAGCGCGCCTCCCCCCCCCCCTATCCTGGGAGGAGGAGGAGGAGGAGGATGAGGAGGAGGAGGATGAGGAGGAACACCCAGCACCGCTCGTGGCCCGGACCATCCTGGGCCCTGCTGTGGTCATTGGGCCCCCTATCCTCGTCCGGAGATATAAACACACGATCCTGGCACAGGTGGTCAGAACCAGCAAGGTATATACATCAACCCTTCTGCAGCACCGAGCCCTCATTTTTGGGGCCTCTTGGGGCCCTCTCCTCCTCCTCCTCCTCCCTCCTCCTCTCTCCTCCTCCTCCTCCTCCTCCTCCTCCTCCTCCTCCTCCTCCTCCTCCTACCCTCGCTCCTCCTCCCTCCTCCTCTCTCCCCTCCTCCTCTCCCCTCCTCCTCCTCCTCCTCGCTCCTCCTCCTCCTCGCTCCTCGCCCTCGCTCCTCGCTCCTCCTCCCTCCTCCCCCTCCCCCTCCTCCTCCTCCTCCTCCTCCTCCTCCTCCCCTCCTCCTCGCTCCTCGCTCCTCGCTCCTCCTCCATCCTCCATCCTCCCCCTCCCCCTCCCCCTCCCACCCAGCGCGCCGCTGGCGCAGGCAGGCCTGCGGAGGCAGTGCCGCGAGGGCCTCCCTGGTGAGCGGCGGCGGGGGCGGCGGGGCGTACGGGAGCACGCCGGGCATCGGCATCCGAGGCGCCTCGCTCCGCGAGCGACCGCCCCTCCGCCCGCCTCCAGAGGCCGACGCTGTCATCCGCAGGCTCATGCACTCTTCAGACCTCCCCTCCCAGTCGTGCTCGGGGCCTCACGTGACACGCACTCGGTTTAGAACAGCGCTCAAATGTCAGAAGTATACGAGCAGGTGTTTGAAACACGGTGGGTGGACAAAGAGTGTCCACGCCCATTGCGCCAAGATTATACGCCATCGAACTGCGTCGAACAAATATCCATAGCCCCCGTCCACCCCCACCCAAAGTTGACGGGGTTGGGTGCGAGGCAACTCGCGGGGGACAAAATATGGACACTTCAACTTTGGGTTTGGGGGTGAGGGGGGGCGAGCCACATGCATGTTGCAATTTTCGTGACCATCCTGCCTGATTGTCTTCACGCCATCGGCGTGGACAATTTCTGTCCCGGAACCGTCCGTCGACCCTGGATCCTGGATTCGGCGGCAAGCGAGGGGGGGAAGTGAGGAGGAGAAGTTCTCAGAAGGCAGCAAGACTCCTCCGAGGCCCTCCAGCCTTCTGAGAAGTGCTCCGTGCAGTCGGGGAAGGCTTAGGGACCTTTCAGACGGCCGGGGAACTTCCGAGCCGTCTGGGAAGGCCCGCCCCCTCTCGCTTCCCCGCCGCGCTCGCCGCACTCGTTCTGCACCCTGGGCTCCGAAGCTCCGGCCCTGCCAACCAGATCCTCGAGCCTCGGGCCTCGAAGCTCGCGCCTCCAGCCTCGAACATCGCGCCTCGAGCATCGAGGCTCGCGCCTCGAGCCTCGCTCCTCGGATCCCCGACCCCCGGCCCTGCCCTTGGGAAGACTCGCGAGCGGCGGCAGTGCGCGGCGAGCGGCGGCGGCAGCGCGCGCGGGAGAGCACGCGGAGCCGCGGCAGGCCAGGGAGGAGGAGGAGGAGGAGGAGGAGGAGGAGGAGGAGGAGGCGGAGACCGGGCGGAGAGGCCGAGGCCGAGAGGCCGAGGACCGGGTGGAGGAGGAGGAGGAGGTGGAGGAGGAGGTGGTGGTGATGGAGCGGGAGGAGGCGAAGGAGGAGGAGAAGTAGGAGGAGGAGGAGGCAGAGGAGGAGGAGGAGGAGGAGGAGGAGGAGGAGGAGGAGGAGGAGTGCCGTGGCCCCCCAGGGCTGCCAGGGAGGCCCCTGCGGCCGCACGCGGCCTCAGACGATGCGCACGGTCCTCGTGCTGCCACAGGGCGCGCCGAAGGAAGAAGCGACGGGGGCCTTCCCCGCCGCGGCGAGCCTCTCGGCCACGAAGCGGGCCTCCTCGGCCTGGGTCTCGGGAGCGGTCCACAGACCAGAGCCCCCCCCCCCAGCTTAAGCTTAGCCGAGAGCGGTCTCCGCCTCGGCGCCTCGACTGCCGAGGGGGGGGGGGCCGCCCGAGGCCCGACGCGGGGAAGCCAGGGGGCCACCAGAGGGCCTGCAGAAGCCGGGGACGCAGACCTCTGGCGACCCGATGTGTTCTCCCGGACGGCGTCCCCGGAAGCCCCGACCCCTTCCCCGGGGCCGGGTTTTCGCCCCGAGAGTCGTTTATGTGGACGGCCCCGGGGCCCGGCGCGAGGGCCCCCGCAGGGGTGGAGAAATACCAACCGTCCTGACGTTTTGGGGGGCGACGCAGGCGTGTCTGGAGGCGCCTCGGGCCAGGGGCACCCGTGTCGGCAGCCAGGAGCTCCGCCCCCGCGAGGCTGCCCGAGAAGCGAAGGCGCAGCTTCGGGCTGGCAGCCTGCCGTGCAGGGCCCGCGCCACGAGCCTCCACGAGCCTCCACAGGACACGCCCCGCCCGGGGCCCCGGCGAGCCTGCCGACTCGAGACGTGGGTTCTCCCTGTTTTCGGCGCCCAGCTCCTCCTCCTCCTCCTCCTCCTCTTCCTCCTCCTCCTCCTCCTCCTCCTCCTCCTCTTCCTCCTCCTCCTCCTCCTCCTCCTCCTCCTCCTCCTCCCTATAATAGAGGGGCGCCGAGGCAGCGGCCACGGAGGATGACGGCGGCCGTTCCCAAACTCTCGGGCCGCCGCACAACGACCTGCCGGCGACGCGCAAGAGCTAACCAGCCTCGAACGTATCCCTATCCCCAAGATGGGCGAGCAAAAAGCGAGGACAATCTTGGGGACAGGCCCTCAGAAACGGAGGGAATCCTTACGATCGGCATCGAGGTGAGGTGATGCCAAACATAGGGATGGGGAGCTGCTTCAAACTGGGAAAGAGCGACTCTCACGACAGGCACGGACGTGGCCTGTGGCGAGCGCGGCTCCAGGGCCCGAGCGGGGGGGGGACCCCTGCGGGCCCCTGCTGGGCGGCGAGCCCTGGGAGGGGAAAGCGAGAAGGGGCGGGCCTTCTCAGCAGGCTCGGAAGTCCCCCAACCTCCTGGGAAGGCTCCTTCTGAGAAGGTTCCTCGGCCTCCCCCGAAGACGCAGAACACTCCTCAGAAGGCCCGGGGTACCTCTGAGAAGCCCCGCCGCCTTCTGAGAAGGCCTTCTCCTTCTCACTCCCCCCCCTCGCTGGCCGCCGACTGAAGGTCACTCCGGCGAAGGGGTACTCTCACGCGTAGCCGCTAGCCGAATCTTCGAGTGGGGAATCGACTTCAGAATTGATCCACCCCAGAACTGACTGTTCCGCCGACTCTTCACAACATACGTAGAATGCTCCGCAGATCTGCCAAATCGTTCTGTGCACTTGTTTCTCTAGATCCGACGGGGAAATCAATTTCGGGGTACGTCAATTCTGCAGTCCGTCCCCTACTCGAACTCTGGGGCTGCAGAACCTGGCCCCCGGGGAGGGGGCCGAGATGTCGGGGTGACCACCTGCTCGGGCAGAGCGGGCCGCCAGATGTCTGGGAGCCCGGCATCTCCCATGCCGCGCCGGAGGCGGCGGCCCACGCGGCCCTGCTCGCCCCCTCTGCGCAACGACAGTATGTAATCGTGCTAGTATTGATAATCCGAGTCATCATTATATACATATGTACACATATGCGCAAACATCTATATATATATGTATATGTATAGATGGTATACAATTACAAATATACATGCATCTGCACATACGCATGCACACACGCATATGTATACATCAGGTCATGTACAATACATATACTAATACATATGCACATATCGATATGCATGTATGCTCGTACACAGAAGCATATATGTTTAGACATGTTCATATACAAGTGCATTTACACATACACATATACTGTTACACTTACACAAACATACACACATGTTCATACACACATATACATGTATATGGATGCATACACATATACGCGGGCATATAACTATACAGATACGCGCACGGGTACATGTACATATTCTATACATGCACTGCTTATGCATATACAAATGTATGCATGTAAACATTCATATTAAACAACATATGCCTCAATGCACAACCCTACATGCGCATACACATATTCATATACATGCACACACCTACGCCCATAAACATCTACAGTCGCATATACATATACATGTACGTGTACTTATACGCGTGCGTATACATATGCATTACACATACGTTTCCATACACATATACGTACCCATGTACCTGCATATATACATGACTGTATATGCGCGTACATCTACATGTGCACGTGTATACACATACCGATGTGTATGCATATGAGCATAACATTATAACTATACGCATGCATATGCATATACACATGCATACACCTGTATATGTCAAGTTAGACGTACATCGACATGTCTATATTCATTTACACATGCACATATATACATATACACCTGTCCAACACCATGCCTCGAGGCTCAAAGTGGAGTTACCCCCAGGCCCTCATGCGTTCTCTGTACTCACGACTGGGGGATTATAATAGACTAGGGGCTGGGGCCCAGAATTCTCAAATCGAATGGGCGCTCCCGCGCGCTCCTGGGCTGCCTCGCGAGGCCAGGGGGCGGCAAGACGGGCCCAGAGGGGCTCAAGAAGCGCCCTAGATACCTCCAAGACAGCCGGAGAGCACTCCAAGACGCCCAAGAGGGCCCCAAGACGTCCCAAGGGGCCTCAAAGATGCCCCAAGAGCGCTCCAACAGGACCCCCAAGAGCGCCCAAAGAGGCAACAATCCATGATGTTCATTCTGATTTTCGATCCTCGCGTTCTCGTGCGTTCGGGCTTCCGACGCTCCAAGACGGCCCCAAGGGCCTCCAAGACCGCCCCAAGACGGCCCAAGAGGCCCCCCGCCCAAGTGGGCCCCCAGACTGTCCAAGCGGGCCCCGAAACTGCCCAAGAGGCGCCCAGGATCGCCCAAGAGGGCCCCAAGAAGGCCTCAAGAGGGGGAACACGACCCGACAATTCGAACTTTCCGCCTCAAAAGGCAACTCAGAGAGCCCAAGAGGCCCCCTAGAGGCCCCACGAGGCGCCCTGGAGGCCCCTCGAGACCCCCGGGAGGCCCGAAAAGAGGGCCCAAGAGGCCCCCAAACCCTCCAAGAGGCTTCAAAAAACTGCCTGCGAGAGACCCCCGAAGGGCCACCCACAACATCCACATGAACATACAAGAGGCCTCTGAGCCACAACCCGGGCACGGTGGCGGGATGGGCCTAAGGCCACTGGATCCGCCGCCCCATTTGGTCTTGCCACAAGGGTGCCTGGCGCTCCCTTTCCCGAAGAGCTCCCCCTGGGGCTCCGGCCCAGTGCGCCGGCCACGCGAGAAGCACCCCAAACCACCTCAATCTCACAAAAAAGTCTTTCGGATGGCCCAAGATGGCCTCCAAGACGGCCAAAAGATGGCCCCTATGGGGCCTCCAAGATGCATCCAAGACGGCCACGACAACCCCTAAGCCCGCCGAAGAAGCCACCAAGACGACGCAAGATGGTTCCAAGATTCCTCCGAGTCCGCCCAAGAAGCCTCCAATATGGCTCGAGACGTCCCAAGAGGCTCCCAAGACGCCCCCAAGACGTCCTCCAAGAGGGCCCGAAGAGGCAAAAGTCATTGGCTCTCCATGTGCTTTTCTGGGACTTTTGAAAGATTGACACACCGCCAACCTCACCACGAGACCCAGAAACAGTCCATTGAAGGATGTCTCTGTGTGCATATCTTCGTGGCGGACCGCCCCCCGAATTGGCGA